CGTGTCAGTGAACGCCACGCGCCCTGCAGTATGTGTGTATGTGTGTGTGTGTGTGTGGGGAGGGAGGGAGGGGGAGTGGACAGGTGCTGACTGTCATCTTGTTAACACTGAGGAGCGAGGAGGGAGGGGGGTTCGATCATGGCACATATGCGGCACACAGCCTTTGGCGCACACACTGTTGGCATAGATACATGTGATGTGTGGGGAGAGCCCTGTGTGTTGGTATGACTGATTCTGTGGCTTTAAATGATGCATGGGCCACTTTCTCTACAACATCTGTGGAGGTAAACATACTACGAGCGGGGAGTTGAAGATAGTGATAGATCATTTCAAGTGGCTGGGCTGTTACAGTGTAAAAATAGTCCATTTTTATTACATGTGAAGAGTGCATCCATATGTGGGACCATTAAAACACAGATTTTCTACAATAATTGATAACGGCTTTTGACATAAATGTACATGGTGGGTTTATTACAGTGTTTATTTGCTCACTGCTTGTTTTTAGAGTCACTATGTCTCCATGGGCATTTATGAGCTTAATGCCATACTGTGGAACTATTCATATTTTTTATCTGATGTCATCAACATTCCCCAGAGGTGTGATGCTAACTGTAGACACTGCTCTGTCTGATGCTCTGGGAGTCAAGTTAGATTTAATCTGAGCTTTGTTTTAACACAGTCTGACCAGAAAGAGCTGAATTAGTTAGAACTACAACAGATGATTTGTGCTGTTAAACAAGTCCAACAGTTTTTCAGTTTGTCACTCTCACCACTCAAATTGATCTCATGCATGTTTAAATTTGTCAAAGCTGATCCCATCAGATCTCAGAAGCTCAGCAGGGCTGGGCCTGGTTAGTACTTGGATAGGAGACCGCTGGGAAAATCAGGAGCCACACTGAGGCAGCAGTCGTAAAAACTGCTGTTGTGTCCTTAGGCAAGGCACTTCACCCACATTGCCTAGTATGAAAGTGGTATGCTCGTGAGTGATGGTGTTGGTCGGAGGGGCTGATGGCGCAGATTTGCAGCCTCGCTTCCATCAGTAGGCCCCAGGGCAGCTGTGGCTACAATAATAACTTACCACCGGGTATGGAGTGAATGAATAATGCTCTGTAAAGCGTCTTTGAGTATCCAAAAAAGCGCTATATAAAACTGATGCATTACTATTATTATTATTATTAAATCCACTGTGTATTTCTCGACTATTTCTCGACCTTGACTATGTTCGCTAATGTGTGCTTTGTGTCACCATGGTAACCGCTGAACATTGTGCCATAGAGATACAGGTAGAACACTCCCAGTGTGACAAAGTAATAATAGACAAAGTTATAACATCTCCATGAAGATAAGCAGTAAGCAAAACTGCCACCAGGAAAGTTTTCGTGCACCTTTAATAATACTAGTGTACAGCCCATGCATACTGCAGTAACTGTGTATTATCTTATATTGTTTACATTATATTTGAGGTTTATTTTCTTTCACATAAACCTATCATTTCTATTCTCTTTGGTCTTTGTCTGTCTCCATCTTTATCTTTAAAAAGTCTTAATTAGAACTGATGAGCTGTCCCTTTAATTTACATTATGCATATGCTATCTCAACACCTCCGCCCCTCCTCCAAATAAAACAAAAATAAAAAACTAAGCTACACCCTAATTTACCATCACATTATAACCTGTGACATCAATGCATTTTATCGCTCATTGTTAAAGCTTTAATATGCGTCCGCTCCGAGTAGAAACATAGGGAGATGTATTCATTGCGAGCCCCCCTAGGGTTATATGTGGAAAGATTTTCGCAAACATCACAAATTAAGCCCCTCGATGACCCATTTCCACACCAAATAAATTGACACAATGAATTATTCCATCCAATCTCGTGGCCCCCATAACGAGGAGGAGACGGAGAGCACAGGATAAATTAGGACGCTGTGATCGGGAGCGTCTCATTTGTACCATCAAAGTCATTTGCGAACATTTGCTCTGTTTGCCCAATTTATTCTGTGATTTCTTACCCTCTTATGTGCACAAAAGGAAAAGAAATAAAGAGATAGTGTAGAGAGAGGAGGTACTGGCTGCAGTTTTTTTTTTTTTTTTTTTTTTTTTCAGATGTATCATGTACGCATAATGTGTCCAGGTCAGTTTAGGTCTTTTCGAAGTCCTTTATGAATAACTTATAACTTCCATCTGTAATGAGGAGATGTCAAGAATGAGTAGCGAAGGTTGTTCTCAAGTTGATGGACTGCTGATTTAAAGTTATCTTACAGAATAAGTTTGTATTTGCTGTGGCAAATTAGCATGCACAATCACAGCACTGTAGGAGACTGATGATTTGAAGAAACAAAGAGACAAGACAGAACTAAATTACAAGTAAAAATGATCAGTTCTGATTGTAATATCATTTGGGCATTCACAGCTGGTAGGAACTTGTTATCTTAGGTGAGGACATTGGTTGATATAGTAGTCAATTTAGTCACAAAGTACAAGTAAACGTACTCCAGTAAAATAAAAGCCATACTATAAAATGTCTGAGAATGCTTAAAACTAGTTGGTAAGGTCAAGATAGACCATTGTCCTTGTTGGGAAGCTTCTCTGCATTTAACCCACTCGAATTTAACCCAAGAATCCATTCAATCAAGTTAGTGATCAGGAGTACCTAGCTGGAGGATCCAGAGGCGGGGATACCATTAGGCAAAAGTAGGCGACTGCCTAGGGCCCCCTAACCTGGAGGGCCCCCCAAACAATTGAGCTCAGTGCCACTAATGGACAAGGCCTCAGAGCAATTTGATTTTCTCTCAGTATGGCATTAAATGAGAGTAGTTTACTTTTCAATAATAATCATTAGAAAAATAATAATAATCATATGTAATGGACATAAATAAAAATTCAATTATACTAGCAAAAATTAAACTACTTTCAGTTCTGGTTATCTAGTAGGCTGCCTAACTAATATGACAAGTTTCCAATCCACCATAATTCAAATAATTAGAGATGTGCATGTCTCAAGAACAATGGGGTAAAACAGACAAAATATATATATATATAATATCAAATCAGAAAAATGGTGCATTATTGTGAGGGCCCCAAACTCAAGTTCGCCTAAGGCCCTCATATTGCTAACTCTGCCATGCACTGGGAGGATCAGCCAACACTATAAGACAATAATCCATTAAAAAGTGCAGCCAGAAAAGCACTTTTATGGTTAGGGTTAGCTTCCTACTTAATGGTGCGCCATGTAAGTTTTCTAGTGGAGGGTCCGCCACTTTTTCTCCATTGAGATGTTATTGTATTGCCCAGAGGGTTCCACAATATGGAATTAAATGTGTCCTTTTCCACAGAGACAAACACGCAACACCCCCAGATCAAGTCATAGGTCATATTTGAGGTGAGCCATCACATTAAAAATAGTTTTCTTAGCTAGTATTTAATATAAATACCTGTAACTGAATAAGGTCTAAAGGTTCAATCAATAGTGTGGATACAAGCAGGTGGCCAACCCCTTCACCAGAAAAGTTACACAGTACGCCTTTAAAACCCCTGACTGTAGAATTGTATAATGTGACTTTCATGAAACATTTTGACCTAAGATTTTCTACAAAAACATACCGCCTCCCCTTATGTCTCCTTCCTTGACAACATTACTGTACTTTGAAAAAAAAAAAAGCAGGTCAGTAAGTTCGACTGTCTAAGCGCGCTCCTCTGTAGTGCTCCATATCAAAGACGATAGCGCAAAACGAGACGACTAAACCCAGATTCAAACCCAGATTCCGCGGGGGATCGGGTTACTGTCACCTCCGGGAGAACGTGCCGTAGACTCGTACAGTTTTGATCCAGTTTACATTGTGTGCTGCTTTCAAGTGCCTCTGACAGTACACGACTATGGGCGCATTTCCCACAAGGAGCTGAGTGTAGCGGTGAGACACAAAGCTGCGCTCTTCAAAGCCCACACTCCGCTGCAGACTGCCTCACAGGGCTGCGCGCTATTTGATGTGGTTTGGCGCCTCCTTGTGGTTCATATGTAGAAAGGCAAAATATAAACCACAATCTACAAATGTTTTTTTATTGAAGGTGAAGGAGGTTCGTTGTTGGATCCAAATAGATGTTTAGGTGTCCTTTTTGTATCGTGTATATTTCTGGACAAAAATATCTGAATTTGTTAATGCTATAATTTTTCTAGGATTTGTCTTCTATTCCAGGACTGTCAAAATTTTTCTTCCGGAGAGTTCCAAGAATGGCAGAGAGCTACTGATTTTAGTGGTTGCAAGAAATGTATATATAATGTTTTTTTTTTCAATTATACATTTACAATTGTAATGGCAATATCAATTATTTAGCATAATATGTATATGGCATAAATTCTTTGAGGAGCTACTTGGAATGGGGTGGAGAGCTACAGGTTGAAGACACCTGTTCTATACTGATTGACTGAATTTTGACATATATTTATTTATTAACATTTCTGTACATTTTAATCTCTGTTATCTTTTAAGCCTACATGTCATTGTTCAGAAATCAGTTGGATACCAATAATAGTACCATTAATATTGCAAGGTTTTTCCAGATATCGGCATTGTTTCTGTACTGAGAATTTAGCTGTAATTTGGTACCAATATTTTTCAGATTCCCTTGTGTTCATCAGATGTGTCTTTTTAATCTGAGTAGTAGGTTAAAATGGAAATAAATCTTAAAATGTGGTTGTGTATACTAATCATGCAATAATCGTGCAAGTATTTAATAACCCAGATAAAAGAATCATTTATTTATTTTTGTGAAAAAAGTGACACATTTTTGTTAACTTAACCACCTTGTTATAGATCTTAGTATTAGAAGGGGTTAATATTAGTTATTGACCTACAGCAGCAAGTTATATATCATCAAAAAATTGGACCATACTTTATCCTATTAGTTGACATGCCCTGAATTATTACCATGTTTTTACCACATTGTTACCACTAAACCATAATTCTAACTGTACATTTTCCATGTTGTTTTGTTTTTCCACAGTGACCATGGTGTTGTTTCTGGTCGCGGTCTCGACAGCCTTAAATCATTCAGCTCATGAGAATCAGACGAGTGGTAAGTGCTGCTTTCAAAGTCCTCGTATTTTTCTGTTCAGATCTCAGGGCCCCGTCCCAGTCTGAGGTCACGGGTTATACAGTCCAATGATTATCAACCTTATAAGCCCTTCACTTAGACACGCATATGGCTACTACTTTTAATGAGAATTTAGCTTTAATACACTGACTTTACTACATGCTGGATTGTTGGCACTGCAGACTTGGACATTGTGATTGCATGAAGTCTGGTCTTTGATTGAACAGTTATAAACTAATTATAGGCTGTTTCATTAAAGCTTGGATCTCGTCCTCACTTGGCCCTACTTTTATTTTTATGTAGTTTTTATGAGTTTACAGTAGTAATTTAAAATATCCAGACATTAAGTCATGTATTAGTGTTCATGAATAACTGTTTTTGTTTTGTTTGAATTTGAAAAAAATATTATGCTGAGAACTCACTGCAATTTAGGCCTATTTTTGTCAGACTGTGCTATATAATTGTAATCTGCATATCTTTGGCTGCTTATCTGATTACAAAGTTTTTCAGTGTTTATTACAAATCACAAATCAAATCTAAATCAGATATATGAACATTTTTGAAACAAGACATGGTACTTTCTCCACAGAAAACCCCACTCACCAAGGCGCTCATGTGCTGCCGTCCACTCTGATCATCTCCCTCCTCCTCATCATCATCGTCCTGCTCACCATCTACTGCCTGAGGTAACTCTTTTTATTTAACCTCTCACCGTGTATAGTACTATGAGCTTCACTAAAATCTCTTTTGATTAAAGATTTGGTAGCTGTAGGTGTCTTTTTCTGATTACAAATCCGAACAGTTCTCCTATGAACAGTGAGCCATTCTGTTAACCCTGTGTCCAGATGTTATAGATGCATATTCTTGCCAATGGTTTCTCTAGACTGCAAAAAATAAATAAATACATTTTAAAAATACCGTAATAATAGTAATCTCCTGCACAATTTTTAAAGGTGCAATATATAACTTTTCTGGTGGAGCGTCCGTCATCTGCTTGTCACCGATGAGATCCTATTGCTTTGCCTGGAATGTTCCATAGAAAGATATATTTAACATTTTATTTAACTTTCTCCATGGAGATGAGCAGATGACATGTCTCAAGCAAAGCTAAAGGTCAGGTTTTTCTAGGTATTTTTGCGCAATAAAAACATCTGGAATTGAATACATTTTTATGCAATACAGTGGAACATTCTAGGCAAAGCAGTAACATCTCCATGGAAACAAGGAGATGATGGACACCATAGTGCACCTTTAAGTATTAATCATTGTCAAACATGTTCTGAGAACTTTACACTCAGACGGTGTTCACTATTAACTATTAAATAATAAATGAAAATCCCACTTTAATATTTTAAATTAAAACCTCGAAAGCACTGGTCATACAGCTAGGTTTTGGACAGAAAAAAAAGCAATACAATTTAAAATATTAAGACCTAATATTTAATTAATATTGATTTAAAATATTTTCACATGCATGTTTCTTTTATTCATAACACACACAGCTCAATGTGAATTTTTGAACAAAGATGATTTTATTTTTATCCTATATTTTGACAATGGTGTCGATATGAGTGAGAGCACTGTATGTGTGCCATGTGTGTGTGGCTATAGGTCAGTGCACAGAGGAGTGGGGGGGGGGGGGGTGCGTCGGCGGTTTGGGAACAGGCGGTCTGCAGTGGATTATGGGTAAACAGCTGCACCTCGAGCAAGACAGCAAACAAACAATGTGAGGTCAGGGCGCACTCATATGGAGAGGGGTTTCGGCTCCGACCTGAGACAACATGAAGAAGAGCCGCTTTGCTTCTATCCCATGGTCCATATTGGTTTTGGAGATTTGTCGGCTTGAGATATTTACCCTTTAATCACTCTCTTGTTCTCTTGTCAGGTTCAAAAACCACAGGAAGGCTCTAGTTACCTCCGTGGATAAAAAGATCCCCAATGGCTTTCTGGAGGAACAAGGTAGTATTGTGCATTTGCCTTAAAATGTAATGCCTGCTTTTAATTTTTATTCCGGTTTTATTTGATTTTGGACATTCTTTACTGCGCTGGAAACTTGTGAATGTTATGAAGTTCAGCTGGAACGCTCTGCCGGTAGACCCTTCAGTTTCCCAGCACACGGGGACCCATATAAAGTTTCATTTAACAAAAAAATAAATAAGTGGAATTCTGAAAGGTGAGACAGTTTGGTGGAGCCGGCTATGTGCGCCATGTTTACGACTCCAGAAATCATTGCTGTCAGGGAGATCTTAATGGCGAGCGTGTATGTTTTTGCAGGTGCAGTGTGAGGGCTGTGTAATGCTGTCTTAAGGGAGACGTTAGCATTGTGACGGCTGTATTTTGTGTGTGTGTGTTTTTTTTACAGGGGAGCAGACAGTGGTCCTCCTCCCCAGATCGCCCTCTCCTTCCAAGAGGTACTTCCCCATCCCCCTGGACGCGCTAGAGGAGGAGTACCGGATACGCTCGGCTGATGACGGCAAGCTCTTTAGAGAAGAGTTCAATGTAGGTTTTTCCTCTGATTCCTTTGTCCGTGCCAGTGGTTTTAAAACTTTGCAAAGTCCAAGAAAAACTATAGAAAAAGAAAACCTAACAGATAACAAAATCCATGGGAAATACAAAGTGCTATCTCTGTATTTTTAGACTTTTATATATTTTATATATATCCTCACTACTTAGGCCTGAATCAAACAAAATCATGCAATCAGATTAGTTTTTCTTCAGTGACGCATGTAAAGCAAAGGAGCTCACTGATCATTTATCATTTACAAACAAAATGAAATTTCCCTTACCTCAGATTAACAGAGTTTTGGGCTTTGCTAATTGATTCTGCAGAAATCCACAGTGTTTTTCAGTCCCTTGTGATTTTTTTCCTTGTAAGTTGCCATATTTGTTCTGATACGGATGGAGATTGCATGTCCTTAATTGGCTAATCCACCTGTTCATCATGACCATCTGAACAAGTAGAGATTCAGTGGTGATCGAACTCACCAGTATCCCAGACAAATAATTCAACCCAAATCAGGACAAACCTAAGCCCTTAAGAAACAGATTTTCAGTTTGGACACTACACAATGAGATTTAGGGTGACTTGCTGTAGAGCTGTAGAGCTTCTTTTGTGCTTTCATGTTCTCAGTGCAAGACAAATTCCATCTGAGGCAATAAATGTTTCCTTCATTCATTCACTATACTACTTTTATGTCAATAAAAGAAGAAACGTAAACATATTTCCATTCATAAAAATCTAAAATTTAAGGATAAACAACCAAAGCATCTGCAATTCTTACCAGTCATACTATGGACTTTCAGAAATCCCAATATCCAATTTAAAACATATAATATATTGACAAACAAAATCAAATAAGTAACAATAATTTGATTTGTTACTATTTGTTTTGTATGAATTTAAATATAAATATATTAAAAGGTATAGCATAATAAAGTAACTTGCCTACAACTAAACTGTTCCTACCTAACCCCATTCCATTCCAGCCAAAGTAAATATATCTTATAAAAGCTTGAGTAGCATCTATAGTACGTGCCCCACATATTGAGACCCGCTGTGTGTACACCGCAGCAGTAGCACAGGTCCACCAGAACCTTTGTAACAAGTACAGAGAGAAGTCGTAAAAATGTTATGTCAGTGGGCTGCCAGATATGAAAGTGTAAATCTCCTGAGATCTTCTGTCTTTTTTATAGTCGCTGCCGTGTTACTACCACCATGGGTCCTTTGAGGAGGCCAGCCGGGAGCACAACCGCGAGAAAAACAGATATCCAAACATTTTACCATGTGAGTGATTATCCCAGTTCTCCGCCATGTGATATTATTGTAACCTTTAAAGCCGAAAGTTTTATTGATCACTAAATCTGAGGGCAGCAGATGTGGGGAAAAATCAAACTGTTATTTACTGGCCTTTTCTTCGCCCTGTCCTCCGCAGATGACCATTCCAGAGTGGTGTTGAGCCATATAGACGGGCACCCATGTTCAGACTACATCAATGCGTCGTATATAGATGTAAGTATGTCAAGATGTGGTAGGGAATACTCAGTGGTGGAATGTAACGAAGTGAAAGTAGTAAAGTGCAGTACTTTTACTTCCTACATTTGAGAGCATGTATCAGTATTTTTTATAATTGTTTAAGACCTGCTGAAATATACAAATAAAAATAGTTACCAAAAAAGCTAGCATTTCAATTGTTTCTGTTGAGCAAAATTTCACACAATTCACTAAAATAATCTCTACATTTGAAGTTCTATTAGATCTCAGTCAGCAGGGAATACTTTTACTTTTTACTCTTTATTCTTTATGTACATTTTTGAACAGGTACTGTACTTTAATACTATTACTTAAGTTGATTTTTTCATGTGATACACCAGTGGGAATATTTGAACAGAGAAGATATTCATTCATAAATTTATGCATAGTACTCGAGCTGCAATTTTATGTTATTTTAAAGCAAGATTAGTAAAGTAAAGTAAAGTAAAGTAATAGATGTGTCTAGAATGATCCACAGTATGGCCATAAACTTATGAATCTCCACGGAGACTTATGAGCCAAAAGTACAGGTTAGATTTGTGGAGAGACATCCCCACTCATAGTAAGAATGGATGGTTTTTAAGATATTTTTGAGTACTTAAAACACATATAGTTAAATAGATGTAAGACAGATTGGTTCAATACCATACTCTGGACAATTAAGTTAGGAAAAGTTACACACTGAACCTTTAAAGCCAACATTATTCTTTAGTAATATTGTAAACAGCAGCAGCAGTAATACCAGAAAATGCCAGCAGCATGTATAACTTATGTTAAAACTGACAGTACAATAGAACAAATAAGATACTTGGTATAATTTTACACAGTGTAATATTTTCCTTTTTATCTCAGGGATTCAAAGAGAAGAACAAATTCATCGCGGCTCAAGGTAACCACTGCTTGCTCTGTTTCCAAGTCTTGTTTTGTTTTATGCAAATTACGATGCAATTTTAATATTCTCATCTGCTTCTCAGGCCCGAAGCTAGAGACTCTGGCCGACTTTTGGCGAATGATCTGGGAACAGAAAACCGCCACTATCGTCATGCTCACCAATCTGAAAGAAAGAAAAGAGGTTTGCCCATTACATACATTATTGCCTTTTACAGCAATTTTACAGCGCTAATAAGCAGAACCAGGAAAAAGAATTAACCCTGCGATCTATAGGGCTAGCATACACAATTACTAAAAGCCCTTTTGTGATCTCATGACCCAAAGTCAAGTGTATAATTTATTTGACCCCTTTCACGTCTGAGGATCTATGCAAAGTGTCACCGGGCAGATTAGTTAGCATCACATTAAATTTAGCCTCAAAGGAATGATCAATTGTGGGCTTAGGAGCAGGTTTGATATGGAAGAATAGAGCCAAAGTGAATCAATGGGGGAATAATTGTTGATAGATCCGCAGAGGGCACATGATAATTAGTCTGAGAATCTACTTAATGAGTTGAAACGTCACCGGCGTGATGCTATTGACTGACAGGGGAGCACAAAGTCGCTTTGATTGCCTTGGAATTAGATGCTGAAATATTCACATGGCAGATACAGATGAGAGGAGACTCTGAATGCAAACTCAGCTCCTGTGTTTCGCTTGGAGTTTGTGCGTGATTCTCTCCCAGACAAACAAACTTAAAGGTGCACTGCGTAACATTTCTCGAGGAGGGTCCTCCATCTGCTTGTCCATCTGCTTATGGAAATGTTATTGCTTTGTTGTCTAGAATGCTGCACAGTACAGATTACACCTATCTATCACAAGCAGGTTACAACACTATGCTACATTATAATTCAGATCTGTGGAGAGTTGCCAGTATTCACAGAAGGAGCAATAGAAATACCTGTGATGAATAAATGCTAGATCGATATATTTAATGTCATACAACAAGCAATAATGATCACATCTCCATAGAGACAAGCAGGTCACTGACCCCCCCACCATAAAAGTTGCGCAGTGTACCATTAAAGTTGCTGTACCTGAATTAAAAACTTGAAAAACAGAAGTAAGTAATTTTAAACAGTTACCAACTGTTAAAATGTATTCATCATTTGTTTAACATATTTTTAGCATCCTAATTATTCATCCCACTTAGATTTTTACAACTTAAAAATGCATGTAAAAATGCAGTAGCAGCTCTTATTTTCCTTATGTAATAAAGGAAACATTTTCAAATTTTCCTTTATTACATGAAAATATTGGTACAGCTCCTTTAATGTAGCCTGATTCATCAGTCGGTTTCATTTAGTGGAAACTGTCTGACCTGGCAGCATTAGAATTCCTCGATGGTAGACGAGTGCTTTTTTTCATTTAACCAATCGCTGCTATTTGGTCGTGACGTATGTAATGTGCCGCTAATGGGGCAAACTGTTATATTAAGCTTTTCCCAAATCCATAGGAAGAAGGGCAATAACGTCTTTCCCTTTGAAAAATTCACCAAACATTCTCTTTGTTCCAGCTTTTAATCCTCGATCTCGGGAATCGTTGCCAACACAGAATGTATGGCTCTTCGCTGACTGGCTGGTGCCCGGACTCGGACTTCTGGGGTTCTTGCAAACCCTCTAGTGTATTCCAATTCCTGACCTAGTCGCTGAAGAGAAATGAAATTGAGCAGAGGCACTAGGTGGCGCCAGTCTGGCGACCTTTAATGTCCCCTATCTCCTAAATATTCACTTCCTTTTTTGAGTCTCCTGCTTGGCAAGCTAGACTTTCAGTGTCAGTCATGTAAATCCAATTTAAAATCTGATCTGACTGACTTCATCTCACATTGGTATATGAGGTAGCCCTGTTCCCACATAGCAACAAGCTTCATGGTTAGATTCTCAGAGAGGGTAGAGTGTTATGTGTGGACTTTGCCTGTTCTCCATGTGTTCCCTCCAGATACTTTTAAATTTAAACTCCCTGTAAACGAGATTCACAATCTGACTTTGATATTCCTGGGTAAATAAGGAATAGGCTAGAAAGAAAAATTTTTTTTTTTTAAAATCATAACGTTATGTGGGTTAATTTTTAGTCCTAGTAGATGGAAAGGTATTTATTTTGTAGTTCATTGATACTGCCCTTGCAGTTTTTTCCATATTTCTGCATCATAATTTACAATCTAATCCAACCTTATATAATCAGAAAATGCTTTGCCAATTACATTTGTTTATTTTTATCTTTGCTGCAGGAAAAGTGTTACCAGTACTGGCCAGACAAAGGCTGCTGGATGTACGGGAACATTCGCGTTGCCATGGACGACGTGACTGTACTGGTGGACTACACCATTAGAAAATTCTGTGTTCAATATGTAAGTAAAGTCATCTGATTTATTTTATCTTTTCAACAAACATGCATGCTTTCTCGTTATTTAACACATTTCATTTACACAATATACAATAATAGCTTACTACTAAAATTAACGTACAGATATTTGTGCGGTAAATATAATGAAATTGTTTTTAAAGCTATAAAAAGTGGATAGTTATGTTTCTCTATAGTTTCAATTGCTATAAATCCATTCACATAATAGCTGTTTTGTAATTAAAAATGTAACACAAAGCGGGTGTGGAAAAGTAATGCTTCCCTTGGGAACTTTCTGGAACATTCTGCTAAACTGTAATAGGATGCGAACCGTCATAAATAAATGAAAAGCAGTATGGAACCACATTAAAAGGGGCTATATAGTGCACAGTGTGAAAATTATCAATAGGCAGTGTATTTATTATTCACAGTTTGCAAACGTGCAGTGAATCTGGGAGAATCGTCTTGGAGAAACATCTCACAGTAGATGGCACACAGAAAAATTCACTTCCTCTCCTGTGTGTTTGAAGATATTCTGTCAAAGTTTTGGTTTAAGAGCTGCTATTTTTCTGTGCAGTCTTGTGTTAAATAGAATAGACAAAGATTAATGGCAAGAGGTGATGCGAATGCAAAATAGGACAGTTATGGTGGTATAAACATTTTAGATTTCTAAAGGTCCTATGTGGCACTATTTCAGATCTATGTTATAATGTTAAATCCTCATCATAACATACCCGAGTTGTGTTTTGATTCATTCACACGTTTAACACACAAACCCTGCATATTTAGGCTGTATTCTTCTCTCAAAAAGAAAACACTCAATCTACTTTGTGATGTGATGTGGTAATATAGGAAGTGCTTCACTGTGCAGCTTCATGACATCACAAGGTGGAACAGGAGACGTTTGAGCTGTAAAGACGTAGACAATAATATTAAGACTAATAATAATAATAATGGGTTACTCACACATGTGTGAATGAAACAAAACGCCACTCCAGATATGTTTTTGAGGAGGTAACAACATTTTAACATGGCTAAAAGCTCACATGAATTAGTTGTGTGCAATATAAGACCTACAAAGCTAATGCACAGCTGCTGGAGTCATAAGTAGGTTAGGGGGGAATAATATTAATATTTAGCAACAAGATGGTGTAATATCTCATTCATTCAGGAGTGATCCAAAGTAGAAAAGAGTTCAGAGAGGTAGTCATTTGGAGACAGTTGTGTGTCCACAAAGCTCCCTCTGAAACGTTTGCATGTTTGTTTTACCATTAATACTCAGCATTTTGTATCATTATGACTACTTAATATGAGAAAAAACATTCAACTCCCAATTTATATTTTTGAATGGTGTTACACTTATTATTGTTGTGATTTACAATATTACAATAGGCTAAACTTGGACTCAAAAAATAGAATAAAAAAAAAAAAATCTCCATCACATTTATGACATATTGTATTACTGTGATTTTGTTTTTTGACTGTATATTGTCAGAACTATCATTTTGAGACATCACACAACCTTAGCCCTTTTAACAAATTAGTCCATTAAAAACAACATTATCACCAAACGCACTGGTTAACCTCCCTCCAGCTGCCCATATATTTAACTTGATAAAACACTACTGCCCAGCTCTTATCCGTCACTGTGAACACTTAGCCACTGTGCCCGCTCCTATGCTGCAGTGTATGACTCTGTGTTATTGCATCACAGCAGGGCAGTGATGGTCTGCGTGCTCCCAGACTGGTCACCCAGCTCCACTTCACCAGCTGGCCAGACTTCGGGGTGCCGTTCACGCCCATCGGCATGTTGAAATTTCTCAAGAAGGTCAAGAGCATCAATCCATCCTACGCCGGGCCCATTGTGGTGCACTGCAGGTAAAATATAGCAGGGTCTCGCTAAGGGTTTTCAATGGGCTGAAAGGGACGTTATGTGGTGGTGTTTGGTTACCATAATTAGGAGTATACAGCTTAACCATGAAAGCACTGAATGAAGTACTGGTAGTTTGGTTCACCTCCAATGTGAATGATTCAATTACACTCAAAGATTTCAAGTTTTGGAAGAATTTTTTATATGAACTGTATGCAAAAATGTGTGGTATGGCATCTGGTGTAAACAATCTGCAAAATGTATGTGATTTTACAACTTTTGGTGAAAATGAGAAGTTGTTGGCCATTTGTGGTAATCCATGTAAAATTAAAGGAGAACTATGTAACTTTTCTGGAATGATAGATGATTGATGATGAGTTGATATTCCTTTGCTTAAAATCTCCAGTGTCTCACAGTATGGAATCAAATGTATCTCACTTCAGAGAGACAGGTATTTCCTATTATCAGGCTTGTTACAGGTCAGATCTGTGGAGAGGTGAGCCCGGTCACAGTATGAATACAGATTTTTGGGCAATAATATGAATAAAATGTGGTAATATAGACAAGTACCACCCACCATTAAATGTACTCAGTGCGCTGTCCCATATTACATAAAATTGACTTTAATGAGCTTTAAGCCACATTATAATGTTGTTGCTTCATCAAAAACATACCTGGAGTTGTGTTTTGTTTCACGTTAACCACTACCATTTACCATTAGTTCTACAGAGATTGGCTATTCCGTGGCTGAAATTATCCACATGATTCTAGTGAATGTGTATGGAGTTTCAAAACACAGTGGAGCGCTTCCTGTGTTACCACATGACATCACAAGGTGGAACTGGGTATTTTCTGTTTGAAAGAAGAACTAAATATGCAGGGTTTGTGTATTAAACATATGTGAATGAAATAAAACACAACTTCAATTATAGCATAGATCAGAAAAAGTGTAATATGGGCTCTTTATGTAATTAGTGAAAGTACTTGTACATATACTTGTCTCAACTTCGGTGGTTTGAGTTCACTAAATTCCTGCTCCCCCTCATATAAAACTTAAAAAGAGGGGGAAAATTCATATAAAATTTCTACTTGTACTTGATGCCGTACATTTACCAGGGCCATTTTAGATGAACTCGTGTAATTGGTCAGTCAGGATTTAATTGGATGGAAATAGGTTGCAATGGGAGGAGTTCCAAGACCCACTCTGCTAATAAAGTGACAAATTCTTAACTGGCCAGCCTACAAAACATGAGGTGTGCGCATGTGAAACTCAATCTCCAATTTCCTCACCAGATCATGCTAAAAGGCCAAACACTTTCACGTCTTGCTTAATATTAAAACGCTGAGTCAATAATGATGGCTTTGTAGCTTCACTTTTACAACTGAATTAGATCTTGGTAGACTGCCTGTTTTTATTCCATAGGGCTTAACTCAATTTCCATCTGTTCTTCTGTGCACTTAGTATTGTTACTGTAAAGCAGCCTGGTGGTACAGAAAGTGCTGCAACAGGTGCTGAGGGAGAGGGACTGTTGTTGAAGAGGGCCCCCCAGAAAAGAGGCTTCAACACCCCACTGTGGAATCCCCGCTCTGGCCTCCCCAAGGCCCTGGCCGCTCCAATGACCCCTGTAAATCTATTAGAAGGCTCAGAGGGCAGCAGAGGTGAAGCACTTTTACACATGCTCAGGGCTGTCCGCAACTCTGCTCTGGAAGGTCGAGGGAGGTTGACATGTCTATCTGATATGGCATAGATAGAAGTATGTTTCTCAACTATTGTGCGTAATAAAGACAGATGTATCTGTGTTATGGTAGTGTTTGGTAACATGGGGGAGATAAGTTAGTTATCTGATCTCCTTTTTTAATAGAGTTTAACTTTTTCTCTCTCTCAAGGAAGTTTTTGCATGATCAGAAATGGATAAGGTTAAAGGCGCGCTATGTATGTTTTCTAGTGCAGGGTCCACCGCTTGTTTGTCTCTGCTGACATTAAACGTATCCATCTTATTAAATTTTTTATGTTTTTACTGCTAAATATTTTGAAAAAAAAAACAAAAAAACATTGTCAATGTGAGCAGGATCGCTTTTCCACAGATCTGTCCTTATTCCCTCCAGAGAAGATACAGTTCATTGTCACACTCTGGAAAATTCTCTTCGTGGGAATAAGCTGGTGGTGGACCCTGTAGCGGAATAATGTCTTTGTGTGCCCTTAATGTTTAGTTTGTTGTGTAATTTTTGTTTGGATGTGATATTTTTTACCAGAAACATAACTTATTATGTTTTTATGAGAAAGTATTGGTAATTTGTCAGTGTTGGTCTGTATTACTTAAATCCTAACAGTATCTTGACAATTTATTTCATTTCATTGTTTATTTTTTTTTTTTTAATTTTATTTCCATTCTTTTGAGATGGATATAAAATAGTGGTGTTACATACGTCAATATGAATGTAAAGTCATTGTTATAGTGTTACATTTTGGTCTCTTACTGTAAAATGTAATTGTTTGCATTTGACAGTTTACGTTGATAATTAAAACACTATTTGTTTCATACTCAAATATTTTGGACCTAAACTACACACCTTGAATGCTTTTTATTGATCTACTAGAACTCATTGACACTTCTCTGCCGCACAGTTTACAAACCACAGCAGCCTGATCTCCCTCTTGTATCACAGCACCTTCTCTCCCCAGTGACTCCCTGTTCCCTGTGTATGTGCTCCACAGCGCTGGCGTGGGGAGAACTGGGACATTCATCGTCATTGACAGCATGATGGACATGATGCACATGGAACAGAGACTGGACGTGTTTGGCTTTGTGAGCAGGATCCGGGAGCAGCGCTGTCAGCTCATCCAAACAGATGTAAGTGTTGACCTGCTCTGACCCTCTGCACTGTGCTCTGACAGCTCCTCTCACTCCTCTCACTCCTACAGTATCCACGTAAACAAGCCACAAAAAAATCACAGAGATGATGCGCAAATAGGCTGTTTTCAGATTCTAGAGTGTGGTGATGTGATGTTATGAGTTGGAGGGAGAAAAGACAATGTTTCAATTGGTAATGATGTTTTCAGAAATCAGAAATAATCAAAATGAAAACATAAACATATATTATAACAAACCAGCCTGTTATTCTTATGTATTCATCCAACCACATCACAAATAGGCTGCTGCAACTAAGACTTAGGCTTAGACTTTATATTTAGACACAGTAGCTCACACCACACATCACAATATATTATAATAACAAAGAGCAATAATATAAATGGTAATAATGAATTCAATCTAAGGAGAGACTGGTGTCAAATAAGGCATAATTATATAAATGTATATGTACTAGCGAAAATTTAATATAGAAATATAGTAATACAAATATATCTCAGCTATATACAATAGGTTGTAAAAGGCTATCTTCCTTTCTCACCTTAAGTTGTATTAGGTAGCAGAACATTCTTAAGGACCCATCATTAAAATAATTTCTTATAATAAATTCATGGTTGAAATGGTTTTTAAACTGTAAATAATTACCCCCATTAGTTTCTTAAAGGCATCCATTAATCAAAGGAGCAGTTTGTTGTTTTTACCACAGCTAATTGTACAACTAAATAAACTCCAAAACCTATATAGATATATTGTACACATGTCATAGCTTACTTTTATTTTACTGTATAAACTTAAAAAAAAATGTAATTTCTTTGTCAGTCAAAATGTGGTATTACTTGATTTGATTTAATGGTTTTCTATAATTCTATTCTTATTATTGCTTATAAACATATTATTAACAGAAGAACACTTGCTTTCTATTATCCACTACTAAAATCTTAAACCAATAGAACACTGCGATATCATGTGACGCCAGCCTCAGTGACAGTGGGGGTCTTTGATAAACTCACTTTGCTCTTTCCCGGCTGTCTCCCCCTCAGATGCAGTACTCCTTCATCTACCAGGCTCTGCTGGAGTACTACCTGTACGGAGACACAGAGCTGGATGTGTGCTCTCTGGAGGGCCATCTACACCGCCTTCACAACACCAGGGCTCCACACGACAGACTGGGCCTAGAGGAGGAGTTCAGGGTACGTGGAGATATAAAAAAACACAAAAAAAGTCAAATATTTCACTGTAACGAATTGTCCCGCACAAGCCTGCTCCCTGCTATGGAATATTTTTTCCTGGAATACTTGCCCTGGGTGCTGCTCTCGGCTGTAAATAACGGTTCTTTATATCGGCTGAAACTTTGGGGCGTATCCATCTGCTGCATCAAATTTACAAGAGATACTTTATTTTAAGCTGTGTCGGTAGCACTATAAATAATAAGTGCTGCATAAACCTTTGGTATAGCTCGAATTTATTCAGTCTTACTTGGACTTTAGATTTTCACTACTCTGTTTTTCAGTCACGGTTGCTGCCATCCCAAAGTGATTTAGTAGTGTATTTGTAATTTATTTTATTTATAGTGAAAACAACGTCATGAACTTGGTTTACAACTGGCTATCTACCAGTTGGTGGGTGAACAGTCAAACCACTATGGTGCTGTCACCCACTGGATTATTACATCATAAACTGACACATGTTTTACATTTAAACAGATGATAACCCAAGAAACAAGAAACGTTTCAGAGATAACCAATTGGAAACAATGCATGTGACCGATCACTATCACATACTGCTGTTTCTCTATCATGGTTCATCATCAGCGCTTCCCAGTTCATTCTGTAGCATGTCCTTCATTCTTGGTCACCAGATCCTTATGAGTATTTACAAATTGCATTGCTCTATCTTATATATTGTTAAAAATTAAAAAGCATCTTCTAAATTGAAATGTAAACAACCATTAAGAGCAGAGTAAGCATTTGGTACTAATCTATAAAAAAATCTAACTAATTTAATTTCATCATGCTATTTACATTATCTCCATCCTTCAAATTCTACTTTTCTTTCTTTTCTTCTTTTTTTTTTTTTTAAGCAAGGACCAATTTTAGATTTTCTTAGACAATATTCTAATTACAATCTCACTGTTCAACCTTTTCCAACTCTAACTCATTCATAAGCATTTCCTTGTATAAACTTTTGCTCTCATTTTTGATCATATCTTGTTGGGTTTCACTCTTCACCTCTCTCTCTCTCTTCTCCTCATCTTCCCCCTCTTCTTGCCCCCATTAGAAGCTGACCAATGTCCGCATAATGAAGGAGAACATGAGAACGGGCAACCTTCCTGCCAACATGAAGAAGAACCGGGTGCTTCAGATCATCCCGTGTAAGGACTCCTCCACCACTCTTGCCATTTTTATTATACATCACATCCAAGCTACTTCAAACGCCCGGCATCACGTGTGAATTTTTTTTCTTTTTACCGAACATAGATTTCCTGCTAGTCAATCCATGTCTGTGTGATCAACGATACTTAAACAGAACTTGTATTTTGACTTGAAAGTTGCGAGAAAAAAGAACGCAACTTTTTCTTTCTGATTTTATTTCACAGTACTGCCTGATATGAGTATTGGCAATGTCCAACGTTATAACTTTGATTTGATTTAACTTATGCATAACTTTTTACCCAATGTATTTTTTCTTCCAGATGATTTTAACCGAGTAATCCTGTCAGTAAAAAGAGGACAAGAGTTCACCGACTACATCAATGCCTCCTTTATTGATGTAAGCTCTCCCTCAGCGCAATATAGATTTCCCATAGAAGTGTATTTAAAGCTATGCCTTACAAACAATGCAAAATATGAGGTTTGCTGTTCTCCTCAAGTTGTTGTTTACTTGACTGCAGGGCTACAGGCAGAAGGACTATTTTATCGCGACCCAGGGCCCCCTGTTACACACGGTGGAGGACTTCTGGAGGATGGTGTGGGAGTGGAGGTGCCATTCAATCGTTATGCTCACCGAACTCAAGGAGCGAGAGCAGGTAAGGCACACAGCAGCCTTGGAAGGAGAACTTAGGAAAAAAGTGGAAATGGTTTATTGGGTTGATTTTATAGAGGGGCGCTTGTAGGTGCATGTAGTCCTGTGCCAAAGACTTACTTTTTTACAGAAAGGCTATGTAGAAAAGTTCTTTCAATGAGGGTAAATATATTAAAGGGATTAGAATGAGTTGTTATAAGGTGATGGTCGTACCTATACAGCACCTAGAAACTCACATGAAATGTTGTTTGTGTACTGTATAGTACTGTTTGTGTAAATCAAATGACATTTTTATGTTTTAAAAGTTCACATTTTAATAAGTAGACAAACTTTTCAAGAAGAAATATGAACTGACAAATAATTACAAGAATTACATGTATTTCAGAAAATGTTTGTACGTATGTACTGCAGCATAAATGGGTTTCACTGTTTGTGGATGAAATCATGGTAGTTCAAAAATTGCAGCCTATGGGATTTTCTAATTGCATCCTTTCTAATAACTATTTCGATTAATCTTGGAGCCATAGTTCTGTACTTCTAAATTTGACTGTTTTATGTGAACCCAATGAAGAATAGTTATTGCTGTGGTCATAACTAATTGGGACCCAGAATAGCAAAATTAGCAGAGATTCTGAATTATGTATCTAAAAATGATCAAGGTCTACTCTACATCAGAACAAATGACTTCTTTCTCATTTCAGCATGGCCTAAATAAAAAAAGAAATAGGAATTTATTAGCAGTCAGATAACAGCCCTTTTCACTCTTCATTAAACATTTTGCACAGTATTTTTTAGAGGGAACATTTTAAGGGTTACTAATCAAAACATAAAACCTGATGACTTTTCCATGTGACCTTTGTCAAACCAGGAGAAGTGTTACCAGTACTGGCCATCAGAGGGCAGTATGACATTTGGAGATTACACGGTGGAGCTGACTGCAGATACACTTTGTGACACATTCTCTCTCAAAGACTTGGTGGTCACTTATAAAATGGTACGTATCGCTTTCAGAACCACATTTAACCCAAAATAAACTAAATAAAAGTCTGAAATTCAAAGTTGTTTTTTCCATTGCCTTCACTTGTCATAAGCGATTAAGCTGTTGACACTTGACATAAGTATGACAGTGATGTTTAGCTGCATGGATTTAACTGTCTGGATTTCTCGTCATGCCAGGAGAAGCAGTCACAACACGTTCGACACTTCCACTTCCACGGATGGCCTGAGATCGGAATACCGGCGGAGGGAAGAGGGATGATTGACATTATTGCTGCTGTGCAGAGGCAGCAGCAGCAGTCTGGAAACCATCCCATAATTGTCCACTGCAGGTGAGGAAGTTCATTTTAACAACACGACAGCCGCCAAAATCCTACAACTAAATACGCCGTCTTTCTATCTTTACTTCGATTACCTGATTATTACACCTCACAAGCATTATCAGATGGAATTGCAATGTTATCAATCGTTTCCTACAAATGTCTGTAACAATGAAATGTACAGTTTGCCTCGGTAGACCCGGTGTTCTCTGCCTAAACCACTTATGTGATCCCTTATAAAGACTTAGCAGAGAAAGCTTTGATCACAACCTAGCTTCAGGTGAAGTGATTCTAAAGCAGCATGCCCCGCTGGGATTGATCCAATCCACTGATTCACAGTCAATTAAAACCTCTCAAAGTGAAATCTCCGCTGACTCCCACTATGATTAATCTGATAAGATGAGCTAACGACAGGAAATGGTGTCATCACTCTCTTCTATTCCTTCATCACCACTTGTCTAAGAGGGCTTTTTAAAGCTTTTTCTGCTGCCTCTTGGGAATGGGGCTAACCCGCTGCAATCCCAAACGTCTCTCTACACTCCTCTTCCGAATTGTATACTGAATGCTGCGCGTCTCTCTCCACCTCCGCCTGCCATCATTGTAAACATTGACTCAGTCCAACAGCAGCCACCAAACTGATTAGTGTTAGCATTGGATTAGTCTCTTTAAGTGAGGGTGATTATTACCCCTATAACACAGAGGTCACCTTTTCTATGGTAAACTTTTCTATTTAAAAGAAACAAATGTGCAATCTAGAGGAGCTGAGAGATGGTGCAAGCAAATGTATGCAAACTTGATTTCTACTAGACAGTGATAGAGACCCACACATAATACTTATGGTTCCTGGTTTAAAGTAATATGAAGGAAAATAGAATTAGCTTTAAATTAAGAGCTACCTTTTACTTTTAGTTCAGTAGAGATTGGCAAAAACAGGGCTGAAATCATCCAAATGATTCTAGTGAAGGTGTGTCGAGTTTACAAACACAGTGGAGCACTTCCTGTATTATCACATGATATCACAGGGTGGAAAACTGTTTGAAAGATGAACTCAGCCTAACCAGGCTGGCGCCACCTAGTGCCTCTGCTCAATTTCATTTCTCTCCAGTGACTAGGTCAGGAATCGGTATACACTAGACGGTTTGCAAGAACCCCGGAAGCAGTAGGCCGTGCACCAGCCAATCAGCGAAGAGATGAACCAACCCGAACTGCGATAGCAGACTGCATGCACTATCCTCCTTTGGACTTCCTTTGTCAAATACAAACTTCACATTTTTTATTGCACCTTTAATTCGCAAGTTCATCTCACAGAAACAACAATGATTTTTAACAGACATGTTCACTCTCTACTTTGTTTGCTGTTGCCAGCAATTACTTGGACACCACTGAGCGTTCCGGTGCATTACATACTTCACGACCAAATAGCAGGGATTGGTTAAATAAAAAAGTACCTGCCTACCGTCGAGTGAACGAATTCTAATGCTGCAAGGTCAGACGGTTTCCATGAAGTGAACCGGCTGCTTAATCAGGCTAAAATATGTAGGCTTTGTCTCTTAAACATGTGTGAATGAAACAAAACAAAACTCCAGGCATGTTTTGAGGAAGAAATAACATTATAACATAGTACAATAGTAATACTGTTTTACTGTATAGTAAAACTGATTAAACTGTTCTGGTGTCCACCCCTTTTAAATAGTACTCTCCTCTACAAGTATCTATGCTTCAGGTCAATTGGAATTCTGCAAGAAATCCCAGAGTTTTCCAAGGTCTTCCAGTGGGCATTGTGGGATGTGTTTGCTGACGGATTTGTCCTTGGTGTGCACAGTGCCGGAGCTGGTCGGACGGGAACCTTCATTGCCCTCAGTAACATTCTGGAGAGAGTCAAAGCTGAAGGACTCCTCGATGTGTTTCAGACCGTTAAAAGTTTACGCATGCAAAGGCCACACATGGTTCAGACTGTGGTAGGTGTAACGTACAAATATATTCATATAGTCGGCCATTTTATATGCATGTGAATAATGATTTCCTCTGATTGGTGCTTACAGGAGCAGTATGACTACTGCTACAGGGTGGTGCAGGATTTTGTTGACATTTTCTCAGACTACGCCAATTTCAAGTAATATGTGCTCCCACTGTTCATAATACCTTTTTTAACTTATGCAATTTTTCTGAATGTTATTTTCTAAAGCAAGCTCTTTTTAAACTCGCCATCATCAACATGTGTTGTAATATACAGTAATCTATTTTAAATGTGCTCCTAGAAATTGAAGTAGTACATTGTGATTTACTACTGCGAGGGTTTATTTATTGGGATAATATATTTAAACACTAAGGTTGTGTTGCAAAACGGCAGCATTGTAATGGATATCCATTTAATGTAATAACTTTATCTATGTATACATTATATTGTATTATGGTTTCATTTTGTTTAAATGAACACATGTGTATATTATCTGTATTATTTATTTGAACAACCACAATGCCTTGCTCTATGTTACATTTGCCCTCATAAACAGGAATCCTATGAAAGACACTATTCCATTAGACACACTGCAAATGACCTCACTTCTGTCTGTGAATAACTTAACAGCAGCTGCCTGTTGCAATTTCATTCAACTTCACCAAGTTTCCTTTTGCCGTTGGCAATATGACTTACCAGTTTGTGCCTGATGCTGCAAACTGAAAACAGACAAATGAAACAGGCTACATTATTCTTCTATGAACCCAGAAGCATCAGACAAACCTGAAAGGTTTTACACTAACTTTTGTACACATTATTTTACACTCCTGTCTGTGAATGCAGTGCCATATGGATTAGAATTACAGTTCTAATCTTGTGAATTTGTCACCAAGTGACACATTTTATTTCTTTACTCCAATGTTTCTGTTTATTTTGTTTTTGTGAAAATAGTAAAAACTAGCAAATGTGCTTTACAATTACACTTTTATTTATGCATTGCATCTTTTGCATCATTAAGGAAAAGAGGGTACAACATTATACAATTAGTTTTAGCAACTGTAAACTTAGGTTATCGGTAAAACAGGCTACTATTAGAAAAATAATTTTGGAATGATAAAGAACAGTAGATATTTAGGGCTATAATGTGAGCCATATCTAAGATAATTCTGAGAACTTTTGAATATGTAGTCAATTGTGGTAGCTTTTCTGCATAATAAATAATATATTTTTCCAACTGATTTCCCACTTTTAGAGGCCTCCAGCATCTTATGACAATAGAATGTTCATCAGAAAAAATACAATAGCTGACATGTATGTGAAATTTAATCTTGTGTTAATGTTCACTTAAGTAACTATTAAAAACTGAAAATAAGTTTTATAAAATGTATGTGAACCTCTGAGCTGATGGTTGACAGATCTCATTCTCAAATCACCCTGTTTGAAATCTACTTGCCCTTTGACTGTATATGGACTTGAACTGCTATTTGTTGCTAAAAGCTGACTCCAATAAATTATAAATGGGCAGAAATGCCATATTACATCTTGTTGTCCTTTTTATGTGCCTCTGTAAGGATGCGTTCAATGGCCTTACAAACAAGTGGGGAAGATGATGTTGTTTTATATTTAATGCTGTTTGAACACCCGCGGTGATGTCAGCATATCAGAGCACTTAGCCGGCTCCATTAGTAGTATTTTGTGTGCCATTAGTCCCTGAATGTGTCACACACCTGCAGAGAGGGGATTATGGTCCTGACAGCTGCCTCGTGCGACACCTATAAAACCCCCTCTGGCTAATGCACAACATGCTAACAAGGCAAACACAAAGGTGAGTGACTCCTCCGCAGCCCAACTTTCATTCGATGGCCATTAAGTTATAATTACGCACTTTATTAATTACCGCCTGAAGTATTGTTTAGAATATGTTTTTATTGCGTTATAATGTACTTGAAGTGCTTTGGTGCGGTGAAATTAGAGGTTGTGACATTATATAGCTCATTAAAAAGTTTGTTTGTATCCCTCCGCAGCGCAAATGGAAGCTAGCAACAGTAGCAAAGTGATGGTGCAGGTGTTTCTGTTGGCGCTAGTGCTTCAGGTCACTCTGTCCCAGCACTGGTCCTACGGCTGGTTACCGGGTGGCAAGAGGAGCGTGGGAGAGCTGGAGGCGACCATTAGAGTAAGTATTTTTTTATAAAAGCACAATTGTGTAAAAAGTTGTTGGTTAGCTACACTTGGGTAAACATGGCGCGTAATGCGTAAAAAGTTGGATGCGCGCGCCTGTTCTATTTGAAGGCCTTCTAATTTAATAATGGCTACTGGAAATGTCCGTTTTATTGTGCTTAGATGATGGGTACGGGAGGTGTGGTGTCTCTTCCTGACGAGACAAGTGCCCAAACCCAGGAGAGGCTCAGACCATACAATGTAGTAAGTGCTTATTATACATAATTTATGACCAATGTCTACTTCAATTGTACAATATTAATGTGCGCTCTAGCTGTGTGTGCCACTGTGCTTCAAAGCAGCAATGACAATATACAAGCCGTCCAATGACTGTTTTTATCTTTTTCTTTTTGCATGATTGAGTATGTGCATGCGTAATTGTGCCGTTTTGGGTGAAAGTGGGTGCGTTCTGTCCAGCCTTATTTAGCGGAGCACTTATAATGTTTGCGAAATGAAATATTTAAGATGCAGATCAAGCTAACTAAATTTCAATCTTTTTAGATTAATGATGATTCCAGTCATTTCAACCGAAAGAAAAGGTTTCCTTCTGAATAAAAATGAGAAAAACTAACAGACTGTAATAAGATGGGAATGATAAGTGAAGACGCTGCCTTCATATATTTATGAATTCGTATTCATCACAGAGATGTCGATGTTTATGTATGTTACATTGATATCAATGTTACATTGTAATAAAGTTTTTGAATCAGATTTTTTATTTGCTTGTTATGGGAAGAGTGCTGCCTTTCCTTTCCAGTCAGTGCAATCATAATGATATAATAAAATATTAATCGTATAAAATGCCCTTTTAAAAGCCTTTGAATAGATTCAGTTGTCTTTGTTGAGCCGCCACGACCGACAAGCATGACAAACTTGTGACACAACAATCTCACCATGACAACAGCTGGCGATTAAGCCAATTTATTAGAAATCAATGAGTTAATTAAATTTGCTCCACTTTTGGTAATTCCATTTTCTGCCACAGCAGTCAAGTGCAAACGCCATGTGGAAAATTACACCATGTGATCTGAATCTGCTTGTACCTGACTGTTGATTAGCCCCACACAATTGAAATGTTCTATCCACACACAACGTCCACAACAACAAAAAGCACTTTACTCTTAATTTAGGACAGCCGCACTCATCCAAAACAAAAACTAGACAGTGCAACTTTTCCCCCCTCTCCGTGCAGGAAATTGGTGTTCATTATAAAAATTGGAATTTCATATCAGGAAAGGAAAGGGAATCAGCAGGGGGCATATGTTTTAAAGAGAACTCATTTTCTGGCAAAGCCCCACAGACGGAGCACCATACTAATCGCCTAGTGCATAAGGGGCCAGGATTCATGAACTGTGCTGACACCGGGGAGGGCCGTGCATTGTTAGAGCGTGGTTGTAATGCACACCAATGAACCCAAAACCCGCTCACACAACTGGGAGAAGGTGAACATTATAAAAAGCACATAGAATTAAAAGAAAAATTAAAAAAACACATTCCCTTGCACTTCCAGAACAATGCCCGTTCATTTTCACATTTAATATTCATGGCTGTAATTTGCATAACTCACTCAGTCCCCCTTTGAAGCATAGTTTTTGAAAAGTCCCTTATACATTTTTGACAAAGTTATTGAATGAAATACACCATAGACCATGTTGTTTTTGAGTTTACTCCTACCTTTCAGCAATTTTGCAACATCCTCATAAAAGATAATTATGCTTTTATATTATTTTTTCTAAAATATGAGTTTAATTCAATTGCAGAATAATTAATGTTTCCAGATAACACATGAAAAAACATAAATTCCCTTTTTAAAAATCCCAGAGCGCTTGCCGCAAAACTCAACTTTCTCTTTCCCAGTGTCCTCATCAAGGACCTGGCTAATTGCACGTACATCAGGACAACAAAACCTGCTGGTATCTATGTTTCCAAATTTGATTTAACCTCACTTTCTCCTTCCCAGACCCCCTAGTGGATATTCACTTTGTTTACCTCAAATTAAACTTCATATTGTTTACAGCCTCCCAGTCCCTGAACATTTTATAGCATTTTAGAATTATTTCTTTATTTATTTTTTGTAATGATTGTAGAGTTGGGATTCATTTGAACGTTTCCCCTCATCTGCATGAAAATTATATAATTAACTTTTGATTAACCAGCTCAGTTGAGTTGGTTCCCCCATGCACACTGGTGAATAGTACCCACCGCATTTTAATGACTGTTTTCCAATTGAGTGGCGACCTTTTCATCAAAGAGCCACAACTGGGGCTAAACAACGGTAGAAAATAATCACGGCGAAGACAATGGTACGGGGGCCGGAGTCACCCTTAAATATAACAGCGCACATAAAAAGGCAACGTGGAGCCCTGCCAAACGCCTGTGTTCCTGGATGCCTCATTGTCAAAGCAGAGGAGGTCACATCCATTGGCATATAGAGAAGGAAAGGACAGGATACTGAGAATGGTCCATTGTTAGCCGTCCTTGCTCTGAGGGAATTCCATTATGAAGGGCAATACATATTTGATACTTTGATTTTTGTCCCATTCATTTGCTTGTAAAAACAGAACATATTTGGATAATAGCTGGAGGAAAAAAAGGGAGGCGTCCAAGGCTACCAGCGGCTGTCGTGTTAACGCACCTGCCAATCAAGTCCATCCCAGCAGCTGCGCTTCCCACCATCCAAATAAGCATTCGATCATATGCATAAAATTATACTTTTTCATTTCATCACCATTACATTACACTCCATGTTTTTCCAATGGGTCAGGAGGAGGAAACTTTTATTGAAGCACACTGTATAATAAAGTCATTTTGCAGGTGCTTGTTGTGGCTCTTATTATGAACAGAATGATAATTTACCCTAGAGGATTCAGGCACTGCATATCAATTGAAGTTTAGTGTGGGTCTTACTATGTTCCCGCAGGCTATAGTAGAAGGCAAAGTCATCTTCAGAGAGAGTCTAAATGTCAGGGAGGTCTTCAAACCCTTTTTTCCCCCAAGCTTTAGTGAAAAGACCCTTTGGAAGAACATTGTCTTGGAACTAAGATTTGGCCGAGGTGATGGAGAGACGACAGACTCAATGTAAAGCAGTTGACAAAGGCGTTAATTGGAGAATATATATAAATAACCAAGACAGGGTAGAGAGAGCAGAAGATATGAGAACTGACTGCTACTTGCTGTGGGGAGGCAGTAATGTCATGTCCCAGAGTGGCCACATGGTGACACTCTTGAGCTGTGTGTTTTGCATGAGATTCTGGCTGTCAATCCTGCAGCAATTCCATCAGTTAAGTTGGAGAAACTGTATTAGTGTAACTCTGAGAAAATCTCACATCAATCAAATGTGGCTCTGCGAAAAATACGTTAAGTTTATCTCAAATTTACAGATGGATTCTGGAGTTGATTGTAATGTTGTTTATGCTTACACATTCTGTCATAGTAGATGGCATTAGGAAAGAAACAGTAAGTTAAAATTTGAAGTAACAAAAATTATAATTTGTTAAAGTGTCACATTATAACAATTTATTTTTTTGTTGATTTTTTCCCACAGAGGAGCTGGTAGTTGTATGGAAGCATGTACAGTAGAATTGGCCTTCACTTCTTCGTCTTGGCTGGCAGGGAACCTTCCTGTTGTGATCCGACTTCTCCGCTTTGATCAAAGAACAGTGTTAAAGCACTGGGAGAAGGAGAAGGTATGAAATATGAATGAATACAGCTGTGTTTTGATGGATATGTCTCAAAGTATCCCAGTAAGAGACTGCTAAAGGCCAGGAAATCTGTTTGTGTTGTGGAAATAGACTCTTCCTCACTTGTTTCTTCGCCGGGTAGCTTTTCACTTCATATTTTAGAGATCCTTTGTTAGGATAGAGTTCAACCCCTTACCATGTATTTGTCTGAAAAGCCTTCTAAGAGGGCCTAGTTCATAATATATATCATTAATGACGCCATTTCCTTTGTTTGGTCTTGGAACTACCTCTTGAATGACTTATAGGCTGCTACAAGTGGAGGGATATTTATTATTTTTCTAGGCTAGACCCAAAGTTCTCACAGATGGAATCAGATCTTCTATGTGCGGTGATGGAGACTTTGTCACTAGTTATGTCTGTGATTCCATTTCCTTTGCTACAGGCCCAAGGGGGACCGGTGACTCATTTTGAAGTTGGAAGTTGATACTGTGGTGTAAAACTAATGTTCCCCCCTGAATTAAGAAACTATCAGAGAAAAAAAAGTAGAGTTAGAAGAATGCATCTCTCAAATTACTCTGACTTTAATAAACAAAGATAATAAAAGGATACGCTCATATAAACAGAGTTATTAGGATAGGTTTAAAAGGGCCGTACATCTCTTTTATATGGCAGTGCAGTCGCTCTGTCTCATTAACAGTAATTTAAAGGCTTTCCTTTGTCATTTAGGACAGTATTAACAACGGGGCAGCCTTCCTGGACCCGTGGCAGGGCGGTCTCAGAAACTTTGTACCGGGGCTTTATTACCCTCACTAATAGATGGGTCCCCAAAATGCAAGAGTCCGCCTCTGCTGGGACCAAGGGCTCAGATCCTGTCAGAGAGGGGTCGCACTAACCAACTGTAATCTTTAGGGTACTCCACTCCTGCCGACCTACATCTAACACAGGTTCCCTCCCCCCTCGCTTACCCCCAACCGATGTCCTATCCCTCCCCAATCTGCCCCAGCCATCCCACCTAAGTTATGCCACCCTCGGCTCCATCCCTCCCACGTCTTACCGCCCTCATGCCATAGTTACCCCCACCCCGCCCCTACCTCAACCCCACTTTTTTTAACCACCGACGTCCGGCTGGCCACAGCGAGGAGTGTGCCTGATCCTGAGCTAATGGCAATTAGTAGTGTACGGCAAGCTGCGGAAAAGACTGGATCCCTGTCCATGTTTCAACCCTGGATCACGAGTCTCCAGCACGACTTCAAGGCGAAGCGTGCAATTAGCTACAATAATGATAATGTGTTGTATGGGAACAAAGAGAGGGTAAAACAGACCACTGGTGAGAGAGAGAGTGGGGTGCTAATAGTAGGGGGGTTATTTGAATGCCCTGGTGCAGATAGGAGACCAAATCAGACTGATTATCAAACGTATGATGAATTACATTTTTCCTCTAATTATCCTTGCCTTTTATGTGTAAACCAACTGAGTGAATTTTGCATTCTAGACATCTCTGGTCAGTGGTCTTTTGGCGTCACACTGGGGTTAAGGCTTTTATTTCCTCCATGAAATATACAAGGAGTTACTCATGGAGCTAAGCTGATACACTGCTGACACGTTTTTTTCCTTCGACTTAATTAAATACTTTGAAAGAATATTTGGCAGCAGAACAACAAATGGGGAACACAGAGAAGTACACAGTTTGATGGTTGACTATCACAGATGTGTTGACGCCGAGTCAAAACATGCTGGAAACAAACCACAATACGCAGACCACAAATAAGAGCATTTCAACTCAATGTTGTGCACAGATCCAGTCGGGAAGCACACTCGCATGCCTTGCTTGTTGGAACACAAAGTGCAGCGCCTATTCTCTCCGCTGTGAGCAGAGACCATTCCTACAGTCTTACATCCAGAGGTTTATAGAGGATATTTTGC